GTGTTGCCGAACAGACCTCCTAAGAACACAAAAGAATGCAGAGAACAAATGTGGCAGTCAATGTTCCATTTCAAAACAAATCAGTGAAAACCATGCCACACTGAATGCATCGCATTTATTTTTTTGAAACGCAAGCCACAGGAAGGAAACAGATTTTCTCAAGTGAGAGACTGAACGCAGAAAGAAAACAGGCTGCAGAAACCAAACGGAAACTTCTCCGGCGCGTCCATCCACTTACCCGTGGTGCTTGAAGAAGGCGCAAAGCTAAACGTGGAACCTGGTGCCGCAGCGCTTGTTGTGGTTGTGCCAAAGCCACCAAAAGTGCCTGAGAATCCCCCGCCGACAAAAAAATAAATAATCGTGAATCAGTTATGTTAATGATTCTAATGGTGTTGGATATGTATGGGGAATGAAAAGATGCCCTGAACAAACAAAAACAACACAAGGAATGATATGAATAAGCACGACACCACACAGGCGTGACACACAGATGTTTGTTTTCTCCACACGACTCAAATCACTCACAAGGTTTCATCTACCTGTGCTAGCCAGGCTATTGCCAAAATTGAAAACAGTGCCAGCGGTGGACGCTGCGCCAAAGCAGCCCGCGTTAAAGCCCACAGCAGTTGCCGCCGGGTTGGCATTTAGGCCAAACCCCCCAAAACTAAACCCACCAGCCGCGGTGCCTCCGGTTCCCAGCCCCCCAAATCCTACGGGCCATCAAAGGTAAGCAGTGAGAGGGAGAGAACGACACGGTTGGGAGTTAAAATGACAAGTGTTAATATAAAGATAAGATAAAGAATAGAATTGACTAAAACAGGAATACCAACGTACCTGTGCTGGTGGAGCCAAAGGAAAATCCTGTAGCTGGTGCAGCAGCGGTGGTTGTCGCCGTGCCGAAACTCGGAGCTGTGAGAGCTAAAATCAGAATGTATTTCCAAATCGTATTACAACTTTGTGATCACAACGGTGTCCGCAGGTGTTTACGAGAAGAAGAGGAGGCTTACTGCCAAATCCAGAGGCGGCTGTGGTGGTGGTTGCGGGGGTGCCAAAGCCAAAAGCTGTCGATGCGGTGGTCTTTGCGCCAAACGAACCGAATGTAAACCCAGTTGTACCTTCACAACAAAAAGACATTAAATTATCATAAATAAGTCAAGTTATCTATGTTCAAAAATTGGCCATTCCACAATGAAACCCATGAGGCATATATTTCAAGACGTCAGTCACAACAGCAACATAGTTGTTGACAAAGTATATGCTGTCCCACCGAGGGCTGCTTCAATAAAAACAACACTGGTTGTGTTTGGAATTATTCAATCATTACCGACATTTTCATTGCTGTTGAGAACCATCACACATTCTCGGTATGGCAATCACTAATCACATGTTTTGGGCGAACCTATCATTCGTTATTCAGTGAAAAACCGCCTGTGTGTTTTTGTGCGGACACCAAGGCAATCATATTTGTAAAATATAATCATCTTAAAACGATACTGTCTTATTGTAATCTAATTTGTTTAATTTCGTTGTTTAGCTACGTTGAAATCAGGCGATAGCAATGACGTGATGACGGCGCGTCCAAGTAGTTAGTAATCAAATATTTTTTCTCATTTTTTTATTTATTGCGAGTTAACTAGATACGGTTGTTTCCATTCTGAAAATTATTGTGCATGGTTAGTGATTGAGGAACACAGAATGAGTAAATAATTCCGAACTGTGACTTCACTTGAGGTTTATCGTTAGCCGGCTATGGAGAAGTGCATGTTGTCATGAGGGTAAACCATACCTTCGCGTTCCCGAGTGAAACCGGGGCTTAAAAATACCGGTGGGGCACCGTCAAAAACAAATCAAAATGAATAAGTAATTATCGTATTGAGTTTAGTAGTAAAACACACTTACTTGCTGTAGGATTTGAAGGCGCACCGCTGCCAAAATTGAACGCCATGATGAGCGCCGTCACTGGATTCTTCTTCTTCTCCTTTTGTCGCTGTACTGCTTCTTAACCAACAAGAAGGTGTATTACCGCCACCTTGAGGCTAAACTTGGTATGAGTGAAATAAGTTCCTTTGGCACGTTCTCAAAAGATTTCCAGTCACCGTTACTTATTTTTTTGATAAAACGTTTCATTTTCAAAATATTGGACGTCACAGTGTGGTCATTAACAGAAAGACACCACAAACAATCACGTCATAGTATCCTCAGACAGGGTAAATATATATTTTTAAATATATCATTCTATTTATGTATTTTTAAATGTATCCTTCTATTTATGTAACAAATGGCATGTCAACATTCTGTGTCTGCGCCCTTAATACAGCGTCACGGAAAAAGTATGGAAAAATACATGTTACGTGCTTGTGCTTCATTACACACAACACCAGTGCACTGTCAGATGCAGGAAGCCATTTTCAAAGGTCCTCCTGGAGATGATTCTGCATTTAAAATAAATCCACAGAGACTATCAAGAAGAGCATGGACTGTCCTGACTTGTCACACTTGATGGATGCTAGGAGTGACAACAGCAAAGTCAGCGCATGGAAACACACACTGGAGGTAATCAGCACGATAATGACCCTGCATGCTGGAAACAACACTCATGTGTAAGCATGCATTAATGAGGCTACAGGGACTCTATTGTTTGTATGTTAGATATCAACACAGGCTCCCTAAACATAATAACAGACAAGGCTCTTAGAATATTATTTTATTAAACACATAAAAACATTACAAAATGTAGCCAATATACTAGATGTGTAATTATAAGTCTAAAATGATAAGTATTAGCAAAAAAAAAAAAGTGCCTGAGCTTCCTCTCAAAATGCATAGGATTAGACAACTAAGCAAATCTTTTCCATGCTTTGGGCTTTTCTTTATACTAATACAGTATTACAATGTCAAATATGTGCATTGGCTCAGTATTAAGTTGGGAAATACCGTTCTAGCCTTTAAAATTCTGGAAGATCTCTGCAGCATCCAGCCAGGTCCTGAAGCAAGCCAAGCCTCTGTCTCGGATCTGCTTGCGGCCTTTGTCCGTGATCATGTCACCGTTTTCCTTCACAATCACAAGCTTGGGCACAGCCGTGATATTGTATCGCTTTAGCAACTCGCTGTAATGACAACAAAATCGGATCAGTGAGCTTCTTATGAATGTTGTTTTTCGCTGTCTTTTTGTGATGGCAAAGATAGATCTATAGGTGTGTGTGTGTGTGTGTGTGTGTGTGTGTGTGTGTGTGTGTGTGTGTGTGTGTGTGTGTGTGTGTGTGTGTGTGTGTGTGTGGTCGACTGGTTAGCACGTCCCCCTCACAGTGCAATGGTGCAGGGTTGCATTTCAGCTCTCGGCTTCCTATGTAGAGTTTGCATGTTCTCCCCGTGCCTGTGTGGGTTTTCTCCGGGTACTCCGGCAGGTTGATGGAACACTCCGAATTCTCCATAGGTGTGAGTGTGAGCGCGGATGGTTGTTCGTCTATGTGTGCTATGCGATTGTCTGGCAACTCTTTAGGGTGTTCACTGCCGACTACCCGAAGACAGCTGGGATAGGCTCCAGCACGCCCTGCGACCCTTGTGAGGATCAGAAGATGAATCGATGGATGCATGGGTGAATGATTTAAAACTTGGGAAACCTGTAGGACATCTTTGTCAGGAATGCCACGATTATAATAACGATGAGGTATAATATGGGGCTATATAAACAGTGGCTGCACAAGAAGGATTTGCAGTTAGCGTTTGAGTTTAGGATTAAGAAAGCGAAGGTGACCTCCGTAAGGCTTTGAGCTGACATTAAACACAAATTAAAAAGACAAATGAATAAATGACTGCGAAAATTGAATTTCCTCTCGAGGTATGCTATTATGGACTGTGTGTTTGATACTGACTGCTTGTAATCGTCCGTCCAGGGCAGTGCCAGCCAGTCGCCGTGCATGTCGTGGTAGTACTCCACCATGTCTTCAGTGGACTTGTCCGATGACACGAAGACCACCTCGAACTGCGCGGGTGGGTCGCCCTCCTCCACCAGCTCCGTGTAGAAGTCGCACAACACCGGCGTGAAGTCGCGGCACGGCGGACACCATCCGGCCGAGAAGTAGATGCCCACCACCTTGTTCCTCAGCGCTTCCTCGGGCTCCACGAAATCGCCGTCTTTGTTGAGCAGAGTCCGGCCGGCAAACACTTCCACCATTGCTGCTTTTCAAACTCGCCCCTTTTTACTTTTCTTTTAAGTACTTATAAACATGTCTCTCTCTTCGAGGAAGAAGCTTCAACGTCATGTTTATCTCGTTAGCCAGCTAACCTCCCTTTAATCGCACACCGACCAATGGGAGCTTGAGGAAGTGGTGACGTCACTAGTTAGACACGTGTTTTTTCAGTGCGAAGATGCATTCAAACGCAGAGGGAAAGCGTCGGCACTTTAGCTTTCGTCGACGTTTCGAGACCCTTCAGCTTCGAACTGTATTTGGATACACTAGCCAGTTTATCTTTTAATTGTAGTTGACGCAACTTAATCATTATGAAATTTAAATCAAAAACATATTTTTGGCATTATTCGTAATATTTTATACAACTTAATCATTATGAAATTTAAATCAAAAAATTCTTTTTGGCATTATTCGTAATATTTTATAAAAGAATGTACTTTTTGTCATGTTTTATATCCTAATAATCTTTTTTTAAAAATACACATAAATATACTAATTAATAAAAAATATAAGACGTTTTTAAATGGGTTTTTGATCCTTGAAACTACTTTTTGCAAAGCAATGTGTGCAGTAACGTCATTTACCCGCTTGATGGACGTAAAGTATCCTCTCGACTCTCACAATTCCTGCCCGAACGCGAAAAATATTGTCTTTTATTAAGACCTCAAGGTGTAAAAGATATAGTTTTTGTTTTGAACATCAAAATAGAAGCAAAACAGATACCTGCATAGTTGCTAAATAAAAGCACAACTCTCTTCCAACATTGCTTGTGTTTTTCCTTCCCTTGCAGCCAAATGGACTGGGAGGTCACTTGGAAAGAACCTAGGGGGCCAGCTCTTCCTTCCTTCTTTCGCCGTCGTCGTCGTCTGCTTTCCATTTGAGGAGCGTAACGCTGTGACGGAAGACTGCTCGCTTTCCCAAAGCATTTCAACAACATGACCTCCAATTCCAGTTTATCCAGCATGCGGCGACTAGTGGAGCAGCTGAAGCTGGAGGCCAGCGTGGAGAGGATCAAGGTAACGGACGGGAAACATATTTAATGGAAATAGAAATTGTAAGGGGTGGGGCATTCATAAGTCAAGGGACTAATTAAAAAAAAACACACAATCCAATTGGTTTTCAGGTCATTGGCAGGACAGTAGCTTGAGAACAATAAAGAGTATCATGTTTGACACAAAATGTTCACATTCGGAATTGCTTGGATTGCCTGTTGCACAGTAGAATTAATTGGGCTCAATCAGAACTGCCCCATTGCCCAGTTTGATTGAGAACGTTTTTCTTAGATACCATACTGGGGGGATAAAACGACATATATTAAGATAAAATAAGAACTAATTAGATTTTCACCGATTGCAATACGTATACATAAATATATTAAGACAATGTAATGCTGATAAATGCAGGTGTCGCAGGCAGCTGCGGAGCTGCAGCAGTTTTGTCTTCAGAACGCAGGCAGGGACGCTTTGCTTGTGGGCGTCCCAGCAGGAAGCAACCCCTTCCGAGAGCCGCGGTCCTGCACGGTGGTGTGACGTCTGCTGGGAGAGGAACATTGTCCACTCGTAAGGAACGCCGGGCTGCATTGGAAGCATCGCAGTTGGAATGTTAACTAACAACAACAACAATAGCAACAACAGCAAAAACACTGCCCATTTTGCAGTGGGAGAAGGAACGTACAAGAGAAGCACTGGAAGGTCCCAAGAGTGTATACATTTTTTTTAATATAAGATAAAAATATATATATTTTAGTGAGTGACATTTTTTGCATGAAAATTTGTCTTCGCAAAGACTCTGATATTATTCAATGGTGATGGGTGATGCATGCAAGGGTTTTTCGGAGGGATTAAATGCTTGTTGCTATGCAGAATTCACTGGGCTGAATCCTTACTGCCCCTGTGAATTGCTATTTTTTGCTTTTCATTGGACTGCAATGAATGCCAGATGTAGATGACTTGGGCCTCTGCCAATGAAAAGTATGTATGCCATCTCAAACAAAAATGTAAACAAAACATTTCATAGGTTTTCATTTGTATCTCCAAATTGTGTTGTTTTAAGATGGATTCTTCCCTTGTTGCTGGGTTGAATTGGGACTCAAGAAAAAATGCCGTGAAGGCCAGTGAACATTTTGGCATTTGTTGGAGTAAATAAAAACTCAAAAACTTAAAGATATAAGCTTTTCATTGTCTTAATTTCAAAAATATTTCGGAGCTCGACACCGCCCGAATCAGGTATCGCCGAAACTCTGACGAGGACTTTTATTTTGACGTTGCTTGGATGCAGGCCCTAAATAAGCGGTCAGAATCTCACAGAATCATCGCTTCCTGATGCTCGGGCTAAGTTGGGCGCACAGCCAGACAGAGAGAGCGAGAGAGAGGAAACTGGCTCTTCCTGTTCAAAGCTCCACAGACGCTCAGAACATTTCAAACCATCTCAAACCACCTTTCCAGTCAATTTGCAAGCGGGTAGAAAATCATGGAAGTTAACTATTTGTACTCCCGAATATTCACGTTAGTTAGATTTTACCATGATATGTGTGTACAGTATTTGAATATGGAGTAGCTGCTTTGAAACAAACAAAGGGGGTCAAATCCAAAAGAGTTATTTTGCTTATCCTGAGTGTTATTACCCTTTCCTCACTGGCTTTTGCCTCCTTCAGTCTCCTACTTTCCCTTAAAGAGAAAACTACAATTATGCAACGTATAATTAGTGATGATAAGCGGCTCAGATCGTGAATGGATGGATAATTAATAATTTGAACCAGATTTATATAAAAGGGTAGTGTTAGGGTTTGGTTATGGTTACCAAATAAAATTCTTTATTGCGAAATAAGCAAACAGTACATCCAATTTTATATATGGTTAGTAATTTTTTTCCGCTTTAAGTAGAGTCACTTCATGAATATTATCATTGCCATATTCAAAGCAAAATCTAAACGCGAAACAGCGTATCAGTGACAGAGACGAAATAGCGCCATCTGGTGGGCAATAAGCAGATAACCGTTAATTTGACTTGAGTTGACCACCCACACCGCCTTCACTGCATACATCTTTACGATTATTTTTAACATTTGTATGCTTCCTCATTAAATTGACATTCAGGGTGGACGCGTGTAATATTTTATTTTTTCATTCTATTCAATTATATCTTATTAAACGACGTGTTGGCAGTTTCCAAACTGCTAGCAAGATTTAATTGTAGCCTCACTTAGCTCCCCTCGGCCCGCCTTGAGTCTCTGACCAAGGCCGTACCTTGGACGAAAACAAGGCGTTCTGAGCCAAGGTTGTTACATTACAAAGGGGGTCAAATCCAAAAGAGTTATTTTGCTTACCCTGAGTGTTATTACCCTTTCCTCACTGGGTTTTGCCTCCGTCGGTCTCCTACTTCCCCTTAAAGAGAAAACTACAATTATGTAACGTATATTTCGTGAGGATAAGCGGCTCAGATCGTGAATGGATGGATAATTAATAATTTGAACCAGATTTATATAAAAGGGTACTGTTAGGGATTGGTTATGGTTACCAAATAAAATTCTTTCTTGCAAAATAAGCAAACAGTACATCCAATTTTATATATGGTTAGTAATTTTTTTCCGCTTTAAGTAGAGTCACTTCATGAATATTATCATTGCCATATTCAAAGCAAAATCTAAACGCGAAACAGCGTATCAGTGACAGAGACGAAATAGCGCCATCTGGTGGGCAATAAGCAGATAACCGTTAATTTGACTTGAGTTGACCACCCACACCGCCTTCACTGCATACATCTTACCGAATATATTATTTTTAACATTTGTATGCTTCCTCATTAAATTGACATTCAGGGTGGACGCGTGTAATATTTTATTTTTTCATTCTATTCAATTATATCTTATTAAACGACGTGTTGGCAGTTTCCAAACTGCTAGCAAGATTTAATTGTAGCCTCACTTAGCTCCCCTCGGCCCGCCTTGAGTCTCTGACCAAGGCCGTACCTTGGACGAAAACAAGGCGTTCTGAGCCAAGGTTGTTACATTACAAGCATTACTTATTCATAATGAGTGTTGTGGTTTTACCCTCAGGCACTGTCCAAGTCCTTATTTTAACATTTGTTGCCAACCAAAGGTAAACAATAAAGTCAAGGAAACCGAGGCTGCTGAGCGGCTGAACGGAATGATTCTTTGCCAAAGATATGGAGATAGTGATCCCAGGCCCGGCCCGGAAATACACTGGCCATTCGGGAAAACTAACATATCTTTCCAGAAATTCCCAATGGCCACCCCGCCCTTGCTTTTATGTTTCGGTACAATCACCAAAGGGTTTATAATGGTTTGAATTACTTTCCATGGGAAGGAGCAACTTTTTTTTTAATGACAAAAAAAAAAAAAAAAAGAGCACCTGCCACTGGATTCTTGAAAGGTGTGCTTGTTCTTTCTGTGAATGTCTTTTAAAAGTGTGGGATGAAAGTGAGTGGGAGTGTCAGGTTACAGTTGACGCCCCTTTCTCTGCTCTATTCACACACAGTGAGTGCAACAGACACGCACACAAACACACACACTCTGGCCTGCTCGCCTTCCAAGGCCGCACATTCCCTAAATGAGGAACGTCGTGAACCACGAGGGCAGATTTTTGTCCTTCCTTGAAATTTCACACCCTCGATGACTACTTTGGCTGAAGCGAAGACGTCATGGCAAAAGTGGATGGACTCTATGTCGGAATATTAACAGGTACTTGCGCATACGACTACATTTGAGTAATTCCATTCCTATTTTTCATTGTTGTTAAGGTTTCGAAGGAGGAAGAGTGAAAATTACTTTGTGGGCTTGGTAAATGTCTGAAAGGAAACGAGCAGGTCATTTAGCAGCTATGATTGAGCTGAGACACACACACACACACACACACACACACACACACGCACACACACACACACACACACACACACACACACGCACACACACACACACACACACACACACACACACATGGGAGGGAATTATCGTAACAAGGCAACAGGTGCAATGCGATAAAAGCTGAAATCATAATGTTTGTGTCCATATGCACACATGTGTTTTGTGTGTGTGTGTGTGTGTGTGTGTGTGTGTGTGTGTGTGTGTGTGTGTGTGTGTGTGTGTGTGTGTGTGTGTGTGCTTGTGCCATACCCGCAGCGCTGGCCTTGTGTGAATTGTCCTTGGCCAACTGGAACACCACCAGCGAGGCTGTCAATCAAACGGAGGCCCCTTGCCGTCACCGTGGCAATGGAGACAACTGCACAGGTAGATAAGCTGGAAAGAGAGGGAGGAGAAATAATAAATTGATTGAGGTGACATATCAAGATGGGGGGGAAAGAAAAAAAATAAAACAAACAAAGGGAAGATGTAATCATACTAATTAAAATTGAAATTGCCAATTAACCCGGAGCACAAAAAGATAAATGTAAATACAACACAGATCCTCACTATGAATCTATGAACGCTTGTGCATCCATATTTGCCTAACTCCGAATGCTGCGTGACATTTTATTGTTGATAATTAAGGCATATTTAAGGCTTTAGAAGCCTTTATATTTTGTCACATTTGGATGCGTGTACCACCACACCATCAGCGACTCGAAGCTAAAATTAACATAGCTAAAATAATCTAACCTTATCCAAGTCAAGAAGCTAAATGAAACAAAAATAAGCTAAACTATGATTCATCCATCCATTCATCTATCCATTTTCTAACCCTGACAAGGGTCGCGGGGGGTGCTGGAGCCGAAGACGGCTAGGAGTCTTCGGGCAGTAGGCGGGGGGGGCACCCTGAACTGGTTTCCAGCCAATCGGAAGGCACACATAAACAAGCAACCATTCGTGCTCACAATCACTCAGAGGGAGAATTTAGAGTTCCCAATCAGCCTGCCATGCATGTTTTTGGGAAGGTGGGAGGAAACCGGAGTACCCGGAGGACTTCTTCCTGAAAATAACCGCAAGGTTGTCTTGTGACGTTTTCAGTGGCCCCTTAAACTTCGTAACTGGTTATGAACCTTTGCGTGTCTGTTCTCACTGAAGCTCTCTCATTGATGCCGCTGCGTTGTTTTACGAGCCAACATCCAAAGGTAATCTCATGGAAAAGTGTCATAAAGATAGCGAACCAAGAAGAAGAAATGGCGTTATCAGTTCCGACCTTTAATGGCGACGGAAATGTTTCGCTCAAGAAACGACAAGTGTGCTTTTTGAATCTTTAACCACACCGTGCTTTTTCCTGCACTAATATTCCCCACTCCCCACCCTCC